TTCCTTCCTTCCTTCCTTCCTTCCTTCCTTCCTTCCTTCCTTCCTTCCTTCCTTCCCTTTCCTTCCCTTTCCTTCCCTTTCCTTCCCTTTCCTTCCCTTTCCTTCCTCTTTTTGAGAGAGGGAGTGGGGAGAGTGAAGCACGGCTCACCTGAAGGGGAACTCGTGCTCATCCGATGGGGGACTCAAACTCACGAGCTGTGAGATCCTAACCTGAGCGGAAGTCAGATGCTTAACACCTGAGCCACCCAGGCGTCCCTACATTATCATTTTCTTATATTGAATATTGCAGAGAAATCCAAGGCCAGGTTTACTTAACCTCCATGTAAGTGAGTGGATCATTTTTCTCCCTGGATGACAAATTTTTTTTTTTATTCTCGAAGTTTTAGAATATATCCAGAGTGTCTTTGTGTTTATCTTTCTACGTTGATTTTTCTGGAAACTGTGTGCTCCCCTAATATGTAGGCACAGTTTTTGCTTTGAATCAGGACAGTTGTCTTGTATCAAGTCTTTAAATTTATTTATGTTCAGTTTTTTTTTTACTTCTCTGATTTGGAGGACCACTTATCTCTATGTTCGGTCATTTTTATCTGTTCTTCTCTACTGTTTTTCTTTTCTTTTCTTTTTTTTTTTAAATGTTTTATTTATTGCTAGGAGAGAGAGAGAGACAGCTTGAGCAGGGGAGGGTCAGAGAGAGAGGGAGTCACAGACTGAAACAAGCTCCAGGCTCTGAGCTGGCAGTTAGCACAGAGCCCGACGTGGGGCTCAAACCCACAAACCGCGAGATCATGACCTAAGCGAAAGTCGGATGCTTAACCGACTAAGCCACCCAGGCGCCCCTCTTCTCTACTGTTTTTCTATTTTTTAAATGTTTCTTTAAAAAAATTTTTTTTAACGTTTGTTTATTTCTGAGAGAGATAGAGTGTGAGTACGGGAGGGGCAGAGAGAGAGGGGGAGACACAGAATCAGAAGCAGTCTCTAGACTCTGTCAGAAGCAGGCTCCAGGCTCTGAGCTGTCAGCCCAGAGCCCATGGCAGGGCCTGAACTCATAAACTGAGATCACAGCCTGAGCTAAAGTCAGACCCTTAACTGACTGAGCTGCCCAGGTGCCCTAAATGTTTATTTTTGTGTGAGTGTGAGTAGGGGAGGGGGAGAGAGAGAAGGGGGCAGAGGATCTGAAGCAGGCTCCACACTGATAGCACAGAGCCGGACGTGGGGTTTGAACTCTTAAGCAGTGAGATCGTGACCTGAGCCGAAGTTGGGTGCTTAACCGACTGAGTCACCCAGGGTGCCCCCAGAATCATTTCTTCACCTGTGTTTTAAATGTTGTATTTCTTTCTTGCTTTCTTCTTTTCTTCTTCTTCCTCCTTTTTTTAAAAAATTTTTTTTAATAGTCTCACATGGATGCCTTTCCCTTTTCCCTCTGCATTTTGCTCATGCTCACAGTGGCAGCTCTGTCTAGACCTCGTCTTGATGTTGGGTCAGAGCAGGTGAGTTCTCCTTGACCACCTCCCAGTGGCATCTGGGATTTCTGGGCTCTGCCTTGAGCTACAGCGTGAACCCTCTTTGGCGGGGCCTGAGTGTAGGTGTGAGGAGGAGGGCGCGGCCCGGCCTCTGGCTACCTCGACTCTTTGTCTCTTCATCTCTTCCATAGTGCGGTTGCTTCCCCTGGATGGGCGTGTGCTCCATGCTGGTGCCACCCTCTGGCTTTAGATGGTTTGGGAGGGTCTGGAGCCTTAGCCTCCCTCCCGGACAGTCAGCCCCATCTTTTTCTAGCACCATTTCCACCTCCTAAAACACAGGTGAGAAAGGTTCTGCAGAAGGTGGTCTGGAGGGCACCTGGGTGGCTCAGTCAGTTGAGTGTCTGACTTTGGCTCAGGTCATGATCTCACAATTTGTGGGTTCGAGCCCCGTGTTGGACTCTGTGCTAACAGCTCAGAGCCTGGAGCCTGCTTCGGATTCTGTGTCTCCCTCTCTCTCTGACCCTCCCCTGCTCACGCTGTCTCTGTCTCAAAAATAAATAAAACATTAAAAAGTTAAAAAAAACAACAACCCCAAAAAACAGAAGGTGGTCTGGGATCCTAGGTTTCGACCATGGGGTGGTGAGGGTGTGTCACCCAGTCACCCAGGCTCTCCTGGAACGTCTTCCTACCCCCGCCCCCCTGAGAACATGGGCTGGATGATCGCTGGTCCTTGTGTGCTTCCTCTCCCCCTCCCCTCCTCCTCTCCCTCCTCCTTCCTGGGAGGTAGCTCACTGCAGCCTGCTGGAGTTTCTTGCCTGTGTCGTGGGGATTGGGTGGGAGTCTTGACTATTTCTGCATTTTTTTCCTCAGGGCTGTCTGTGTCCTTTGGATTTCTCCCTCCAAGCTGTTGGGGGTGGCGACCCTCAGTGACATTTCCCTTAGAGCTTCTCTGGAGAGTTGAGAGTTGGATGGAGCAGAACCAAGCTGGCCCTTTCTCCAACCATGAGCCCTTTTTCTGTAGCGTTTATTAGTACCAGCTTGTTTGCCTTTTTTTTTTTTTAAACCTATGTGTTTTTTTAAGTTTATTTTTTAATTTTGAGAGAGAGAACGAGCGAGCATGAGCTTGAGCAGGGGAGGGGCAGAGAGAGAGGGGGAGAGAGCTTCCCAAGCAGGCGCCGTATTGTCAATGCAGTTCAGTCCCTCAAACCGTGAGATCACGACCCCAGGCGAGGTAAGAGTCAGATGCTCAACGGACAGAGCCACCCAGGTGCCCCAAACCTGTGAGGTTTAAAAACCTATTATGTATTAGTGGTAGAGAGATCTTGATGTCTGGCTTCACGATACCGTCTTAAACCAGACATCTGCTTGTTTTAATTTATTTAAAAAAAAGTTTATTTTTACTGTTCATTTATTTTTGAGAGAGAGAAAGAGAGTGTGAGCAGGGAGGGGCAGAGAGGGAGGGAGACACAGAATCCAAAGCAGGCTCCAGGCTCTGAGCTGTCAGCACAGAGCCCGATGTGGGTTCTGAGATTATGACCTGAGCTGAAATTGGACGCTCAACTAACTGAGCCACCCAGACTTCTCAAACTTATAAATAAATACATTTTAAAATTTGTTGCAGGACCCATGCTTAGTCTGTGAATTCACATGGTCCCAGGCATGTGGGTGTGTATAGGAGTGCCCCCATTTCAGAAATAGGAGGAGCCAGAAGAGACCTCTTTAAATGAAAATACAGTTTTGTGTTTACTTATGTAAGCAGCAACCTTGTCTAATCCTAATGTGCTTATTTCCCTGAAACACAAGTTTAAAACAGCAAGTACAACTCCACTTTTATTAGGAATAGGAACCTGCTCCTTAATTACACATTCAGATCCTTTCACCTCCTGAAAGTCAGCTGTACAGCTTGTTAAGGGTTAAGCGGAGTCTGTCTGGATTGGAGGGAGATGCTCTGTTTAGCCGTGTTGTGTTTTACAGCCATCAGCGTTTCGCGGGGAATCCTTGTCATAGCAGATGGGTTGATGAGTTGTTTATTCTAGAGCAGGGATTGGCAGACCGCGGCCTGTAAGCCGAATCCAGCCCAACACCTGTTTCTGTAAATTTTTGTGGGAATGTAGCCTTGCCTGTTTGTTTACATACCGCCTGTGGCTGCCTTGGGGCCAAAACGGCACAGTTGAGTGCCCCAGAGATCCCGTGGCCTGCAGAGCCTAAAATATTTTGTTATCTGGCCTTTGCAGAAAAACTTGGCCGCCCCCCGTTCTCGGGTGGTTAACCATGGACCGCCCCACACTGTCCTAATCAACTTTTCTCCCCTAACATTGAAAGAATAGGCTTGAGATTCGTATTCTGTCCTTAGTGATCTTAGTGGGGTCACCTGTAGGTCCCCGGATGTGGCCCCAGGAAGAAACATCCGTGCCAAAGCACATCTCCCCCTAGAGGCCCCCCTGAACCCTGCTCATCACAGGAGGCAGATGTCTGTGGATTGTTGCCTGGGGCCCTGCGTTGCTCTCCCAGAAGCCAGTTGTCAACACACACAGTAGCAGAGGGCTGAGGTTCCCCTCTGCCGCTCGGTTTATTGAACTTGACCTCTCCCATGATCATTTTTTGATAATTCTTTTTTTTTTAAGTTTACTTATTTTGAGAGAGTGAGAGGGAGAGCGTGAGCAGGGGAGAGGCAGAAAGAGAGGGAGAGAGAGCCTGACACAGGGCTCGATCCCACCATCCGTGAGATCATGACCTGGGCTGAAACCAGGCATCGGACGCTCAATTGCCTGAGCCACCCAGGCGCCCCTCATTCTTTCATAATTCTCTTTTTTTAAAAAAATTTTTTAATGTTTTTTTATTTATTTCTGAGAGAGAGAGAGAGAGACAGCGTGAGCAAGGGAGGGTCAGAGAGAGAGGGAGACACAGAATCCGAAATAGGCTCCAGGCTCTGAGCTGGCTGTCAGCACAGAGCCCAAAGCGGGGCTCGAACCCACTAACTGTGAGAACCATGAGATCATGACCTGAGCCGAAGTCGGACACTTAACTGACTGAGCCACCCAGGCGCCCCTCATTCTTTCATAATTCTTAAAGGAATAATTCCATAATTCTTAAAGGAATAATTAGCAGTTGAGTCTCCTCTGAATCTCATTTATTTTTTATTTATTTATTTATTTATTTTAATGTTTTATTTATTTCTGAGAGAGAGAGAGAGACAGCATGAGCAGGGGAGGGTCAGAGAGAGAGGAAGACACAGAATCCAAAACAGGCTCCAGGCTCTGAGCTGGCAGTCAGCACAGAGCCTGACTCGGGGCTCAAACCCACGAACCGTAAGATCATGACCTGAGCTGAAGTCGGACGCTTAACCGACTGAGCCACCCAGGCGCCCCTGAATCTCATTTATTTATTCACAGACCCAAGGAAAATACTAGAGAGAGAATGATCCCTTCACCGCATCCCCAGGGGCCGGCCTGGGGCCTGGTATATAGTATATGTGTTTCAGAATTACTTTTCGGGGGGATGACCTGGAGCCTGTGCACAGCTCGTAGTGAATAAGCCTGTTCTGCGAAGCGAAGGAGTCTCATTGGCATTAGCCTCACCCGCGAGCTTCCTTTTTCCTTCTCTTTCCTGTGACAGTCGCCTTGTTTCATTCATGGCACAGAGAAAGGTCGGTCAGCTTCAGGCCAGTAGCCACTGATGATTTTCCTTCCCAGGCGGTGGTTATCATGGGCGTGGTGCTCCAAGGGGCCAACCTGTACGGTTACATCCGGTGCAAAGTGGGCAGCAGGAAGAATTTAACCAGCATGGCCACGTCGTATCTCGGAAAGCAGTTGTTACGACAGGTCAGTGTCTGGATGTGAGGGTAATTCAGATGCGATCAGGGACTCATGCAGTCCCTTCTGATTCTTGTAGAGTTTCATTTTTATGGAATCCTTAAAAAACATAAGTGCAAGTGGGGAAGGGGGAGAGGGAGAGAGAGAATCCGAAGTGGGTTCCGAGCTCTGAGCTGTCAGTGCAGAGCCCAACGTGGGGCTTGAACTCACGGACCGTGAGATCATGACCTGGGCCGAAGTCAGACGCTTCACTGATGGAGCCACCCAGGCACCCCATGTCCATAATTTGTGACATAATTGGGCCACGGACGGTAAGACAGTGTAGCGACCAGCCTCCCTTCCAAGTATGGGATGTTTTCCTAGTGCTTTGAAGTCTGGTATTTTAAGTAAAATTGTTCTCTGTATTAAGGGCTTCTTTTCTCTCTTGGCAGAACACCGGTGATGACCAGACTTCCTGAAGAGAGGGGAGACCACTCTCGTGTTCTGTTATGCCTTTACGCCGAAGAGATGATTCTGGACTCTGAGCCTTTTGGAACTCACTACATGTTGCAAAGACGAATATTGGGTTTGTTTTTCTAGTTTATTAACCTCTTTGCTTTAAAAAATTGGAAAGGTCGTTTTCACATTCAGTTATTTACTGTCTCTCTCACATTTGGGGCTCCAAAGGATGGCGTTGCCAGAGACGTCGTCCAGATCGGTTCCCGGTTTCCGTAGGTAATGTCCATGTGCCCTGAGTCACTGCCCGGGTCTGACGTGCATATGAACGGAGACCTTTGGGTTTCGACCCACAGAATATAGAAGATGTTCTCAGTCTATCAGAACACGAGACGTGTGCATATTTGTCCTATAGATTATCGTCAGAAGAAAGTCTTGCTTTCGTGGTGAGAGTGAGCACTTTTGGCTTCTGTAGAAGTTAGAAATAATTGTTCATCTTCCAACTTAAACTATACTTTGTGATGAAAGTTCTTATCTTAGGACTCCCAGGCAGGTAAAAACCAAATTTGGGCCAGTGGTTAACAAGTTTGTAAATTTTGTTAAGTTTTATCTGTAACAGTCATGTAGTTAAGGCCCCACGAATATAAAAGGAATTTCCCTAGTTTATGTTTCGGGGCTCCGCTAGAGATTGCTGCTGCTGCTGTATTTATATTTTGGAAGGGTTAGTCAGATCTCACTTTGGAACTTCCCGGTGGTCCTTGGCCTAATGAAATCTTATCTTTTATCACTAAAAGAGTATTGTTCTTATATCATAGTGAGAATAATCATTGAAATACTTGGCATAATAAGTGCCCAGAAGACATTTTATCTTAAGAATCTTTTTCTTTTTTCTTGCTATAATGGGGACATTGTAAATCTTGGTTTGTAGTAATGGGATTTCTTAAAGCAATATATGTAACAATCTCCAAGCTGTTTTAGGAGTCTATAAATTCTGTTGCAGGTTCTGTAAACTTTGTTGGAGTCTTTTAACCAGCAGATTATTTTGTGAATGTATTTATACATTGTTGAGATTTTTCAAAAGATGTTTAATTAAGTATCTTTGTTGGAGTGATAGCTTTGAAGGTACATGACTTTATATTTGTATAAAACTCTACTGTTTACAAAGCACTTGGACACGTTTAATCTCCTTTCATCCTCACAACGAACCATTTCTGTGTGATACCTATTTATAGCCGATAAAATGGAATTTTAGACTATTGAGTGACTTGTCCAAGGAAACAGATGACTGGAAGACTCCCCAAGATACAGGATGGTTTTTACGGGAAATATTTGTCTCTAAATGTTTTCTGCTTTCTTAGGAATCATTATTTTTTTAAAAATTGTTTTAAATGTTTATTTAGTTTTGAGAGAGAATGAGAGAGTGCGGGTGGGGGAGGGGCATAGAGAGAGGGAGAGACCAAATCTGAGGCAGGCTCCAGGCTCTGAGCTGTCAGCACAGAGCCCGACGCAGGGCTGGAAGTCGTGAACCATGAGATCATGACCTGAGCCCATGTTGGGCACTCAACCAACTGAGCCACCCAGGCGCCCCAAGAAATCATTAATTTCTTAAGTGCTTATTTGCCATTGTGTCTATAGTCACCTGGTGAGGAAAGTTGATGCTGCAGAAAGATACGCATTTCCTTCATCTGAAGGCTCTAACTTACATCTCTAGAGGAGGGAGTCTTAACAGGGGCTGCGTTGGTGTGGTTCTTGAGGTAGCTGTGTTATTATTTGAACCTGTAATCCCAAGCCAAATACAAATTGAATTGTGGAATTCTCCATGTGGCAGAACCTACCACTTTATCTCCCAGTGTCCATCTCTCCTTGCCACAGGTTTCCCACCTATTAGCGGAGACATGGCAGCGGGGTTCTCAGATTTTCTAGCTGCATCTTGGCTTGGCCATGAGACCGTATTCTGGCCAATGGATGCACTTCTAGGAAATATTCTTAAAAGAGGGGCCTACCCATCCCATCCCCTTCTGTCCTTCCTGCTGGCCGAAGTGTAGATGTAATGGAAGGAACTTGAGCAGCCATGTTGGGCTGTGGGGCGGAAGCCTCTTTTCATGAGTAACAGAAATAGGGTAGAGAGAGATTGTCTGCATTCTCCCTGACGGAGCTTGCAGCCCGGAACCGCCTATCTGAATTCTTAACTGAGAAACAGACTCTTCTCGTGTTTAAGTATTACCGTTCTGACTTTTCTGTGGCCTCCCTGAATTCTGGTCAGTCCAGTGTATTTTCAGCACCCCCCATAATTGTCTCTGTAAGTATAGCATTTGAGATGTAATAATTCAGTAAACACACATTTGCGCCTTTCTCTGCGTGGTAATTCAGCTCCGGTTACAGGTCAGCTGCCCCAGACGCTGCTGCTGCGTGGAAATTTCGTGATGGTGAAAACGGCCCTCTGGCTGTGCGTGCACCCGCTAACAGGGCAGGGACTTGGACGCAGCCTGCTCTGCTCTGCGGGGTCTGGGGCCCAGCCGTGAAGATCTGGAGGCCCGTCTTCACACGCTGGTGGGGGGTGTCTTCAGCCACGAGCCTGGAGGGGGACTGGCCGCTGGGGCCTCTGCCGGGTTGTCGGAGCACCTGCGTTTGTGACCTCTGTGCATGGTGTGGTCTCTGCGTAGGCCTGTTTGGGCTTCAGGACCAGGCAGGCGGACCCTTGGGGGGGTGGGTTCCCTCGACAGCAAGAGAAGCGCGTGTTCTTAATGACGAGTGTGAGAACCCACCCAGCAGTCACCCGTGCCGCCCTCTGGAGGTCGAAGCAGCCGCCCGGGGTCCCCCTGAGTTCAGGGGAAGGGTGACATGGGCCCACGCTTGACGAGAGGATCGTCGAGATTACATTATAAGCACGACGGTGGGGTCTGGGAGAGACTGTGCGGCGTGTCCGGGAAGTGACACCTGCCCGCACCTGCCTGAGTCACGTCCTCGGGTTGACCGTTCACTCTGTGGGGACTGAGGGTGGCGAGCGTGGCCTCCTCTTCCCTGGGTCCGCCTTGGTACGCGTGAACTGGCGGTGCTGCCTTTAAACTGAAAGCCGCCTTGGGGCGCCTGGGTGGCTTAGTCGGTTAAGCGTCTGACTTTCGCTTAGGTCATGATCTCGCGGTTCGTGGGTTTGAGCCCCGCGTCGGGCTCTGTGCTGACTGCCAGCTCAGAGCCTGGAGCCTATTTCAGAGTCTGTATCTCCTCTCTCTGACCCTTCCCTGCTCACGCTGTCTCTCTCTCTCTCTCCTAGAAATAAAACATTTAAGAAAAATAAAAAAAAAATGAAAGCCACCTTGCGTCTGACAGCCCCCAGGGTTCTATTCTTTGACCCCCCCCGAAATGCGTAGGCGAGGGCGCGCGTGTGTAGGCGAGGGCGCGCGTGTGTAGGCGAGGGCACGCGTGGGTGAGGGCGTGTGTGTGTAGGGACCATAGCACGTCCGTTCCGCCACCGCGTGGCTGCTGCGATCCTTTTCAATCTATAGCCCATTTAGAGCCCATCACGGTTCCTGGGGGTGTGATCTCGTCTGAGTCGCCCCATAACCTCGGAGAGGGAGGGAGGACCCGTCGATCACCTCGGGTTTCAAATGCATAACCGAGACTGAGCTGCACTGAAGGCTGCGTGTGCTAGAGATGGTGACGCTCACCGGATGCTCTGGTCGGCTCTGCCTTTCTCAGCCCCCTTAATTAATTGAGCCCACGTGACTAGTGGCCGTGAAACGTGAGTGGCGGTGGCCAGTGGCGTTTCTGGGTGAGGAAGGCCAAACGTGACAGTCTCTGATCGTTCTTCCCCTTTGGTGGCAACCAGCGGCATCCAAGATGGTGGCCCCTCCGCTGGCCTGGGTCATGGGGTGACTTGTGGAGCAGGACCCCCTACCCGTGCCTGTGACATCTACAGCCCAAGTGGGAAAGAAACTTTTTTTTTCTTAATGTTTATTTCTTTTGGAGAGTGCAAGCAGGGGAGTGGCAGGGGGGAAGAGGGGCACAGACGATCTGAAGCGGGCTCTATGCTGACAGCACAGAGCCGATGATGTAAGGCTCGAACTCACGAACCACGAGATCATGACCTGAGCCCAAGTCAAAAGTTCAACCGACTGAGCCACCCAGGCGCCCCTAAACTTCTGGTGTGTTAAGAGCCTGGTTAATTTGAACATGACTTCATAGCCTACTCTGACTTCTATATAAGTCACGCTTCTGAAACTTTAAGTCCTAATGCAGTAATCTTTCCATTGCCCCGACGGTTCCTTTTGTGAGTAAAGAAATTGGATTCCTTGTCCCTTAGTGCAGGTGGGACCAGACAAGTGAAGTCTACCAGGAAGAAAGTGCCAACTGGGAGCGTCTACACACCATCTCAAGGGACCAGAAGCCTCTCACTTCTAGCCGTTTGTTGCCACTCAGGAAGGTGGTCCCTCTGTTGTTCTGTTTCTGAGTTTTTCAAGAGAAATGGAAAGTCTAGATGTTTATGTGAAATCTGATCTTTTAAAGCTTACAAATTTTTTTAATGTTTATTTTTGAGAGAGAGAGACTGTGAGGGGCAGAGAGAGAGAGAGAGAGAGAGACAGAATCCGAAGCAGGCTCCAGGCCCTGAGCTGTCAGCACAGAGCCCGACGCGGAGCTCCAGTCCATGAACTGTGATGAGTTCGAAACCAAGAGTCAGACGCTTAACCCACTGAGCCACCCAGGTGCCCCTGATATTTTCATGCTTATAAATTAAATTTAAAAGGAAGAAAGAAAACACCTGTGAAACCAAACGATACATTTGCAGGTCTAATTCGGCTATGCCAATTTTTGCCACAGTGTGGTGATTTCCAAACTTAGTCTTGCTGGTTTTTTTTTTTTTTTTTTAGTTTTTTTTTTAAGTGATCTCTACACCCAACACGGGACTTGAACTCACGACCTCGAGATCAAGAGTCAGATGCTGTATTGACTGAGCCAACAGTTGTTGCTGGTTTTGAACAGCACATTCTAAAATTGTACGTTGTTTACTTTTCTATTAAAAATACCATCAAAATAATACCTAGTTCACATGAGAAGCAGGAAGCACTCCTTAAAACCTTTATATTGTTCTTAGTAAGAGAGGAGGAAGCCTATAATTTCCTGAAGAAATTATAACTGAGTGCCAAGAAAAAAGTAATCTATAACTTTTAACTACAACTAATTAATCTTAAAAAAAAAGCACTCGATGGGGCACCTGGGTGGCTCAGTTGGTTAAAAGTCCAATCAGGTCGTGATCTTGCAGTCTGTGGGTTCGAGCCTGTGCTGACAGCTCAGAGCCTGGAGCCTGTTTCAGATTCTGTGTCTTCTTTTCCTGCCCCTCTCCTGCTTGTGCTCTGTCTCTCTCTCTCTTTCTCTCAAAAATAAATAAACATATATTAAAAAAAAAGGAAAATAAAAGCACTCGAATCAAAAACTCAAGTATTGCAGAGGCTGCAAAGAAAAACAGCACTCTTACCCAATCTCAATTCTGCTCCCCAGAAGCAAATATCTTCATCTGCTTCTGTTTTTAAATGTGGGGGTATTTACTGCCATACCTCTAAATCATATTCTTACAGTGTTTCCTTGGCTTTTCAACGTTGACTTCCTGCTATAAGATATGAAGATTTGGGGCCCCTGGGTGGCTCGGTTGATTGAGTGTCCGACTCTTGGTCTCTGATCGGGTCTCGATCTTGGGGTCGTGGGTTTGGGCTCTGCGTTGGGCTCTGCGCTGGGTATGAAGCCTACATAACAAAACAAAACAAAACAAAAAAAAGGAAAAAAAAGGAAGCAGAAGATAAAACTTAAACGCTTCCCCCCCCCACATAGTTCAAGCACCGTTTTTGTCCAATTAGTTACTATATGAAAGGCTTAGCATAAACTTCTCTTATATTCCATCAGATATCTGGCTTAACTGTTAATTGCCTCTATTAATAATTTGTCCAATCGCAAGTAACGGAAAATCCTCTGAATAATATTGGCTTAGACCAAAAAAAAAAAAAGTCTGTTTTTCCACAGAGGAAGTGTGGCAGGGGGCAGTTGCTGGTGTTTGATGAGGTTACTAATCAGTTCCCTGGAGAGCCTGGTCTTTTGTCCCCGGGCGCATCGCCTCAGGGTCACAAGATGACTATCACAGCTGAAGGTGACTCATCTGTTTTTGAGGAAGATTAGAGGCT